CTCAGTCTGTTAAGCATCCGACTTCGGCTCAGGTCGCGGTCTCGCGGTGTGTGGGTTCAAGCCCCACATCAGGCTCTGTGCTGACAGCTGGGAGCCCGGAGCCTGCCTCGGATTCTGTGTCTTCCTCTCTGTCCCTCCCCTGCTCGCACTCTGTCTCTCTCTGTCTCTCAAAAATAAATAAATGTTCAAAAAAAAATTTTTTTAATGAAAAAAAGAGGAAGGAAACTGCCAAAATCTTTTCCAGAACGTGATACCATTTCAGGCTCCCACCAGCGCGTGTGAGAGCTCCAGCCCCAGCATGCCGTCACCAACTGTAGTTGTGGTCAGTCTCCTGGGTTTTTTCCCATTCCCACGGGCGTGTAGCAGTATGTGATGCTGAGAATCTTTTGCCAGATATCTTCTTTTTAAAAAAGTTTTACTGAAGTGTAGCGGATGTACAATGTTCGTTTCAGGTGCACAACACAGTGAATTTTCCATACGATAATCTGTGCGTTACAGAGCGCTCACCACGGCAAGTGTAGTCACCATCCGCCGCCACGCAGCGTTATCGTGATAGTATCGGCCGTGTTTCCTGTGCCGTACTTTCCGTCCCCACGGCCCGTTTACCAAGTCTGTACCTCTTCTACGTACACGTCTTCTTCGGTGACATTTCTGTTCAGATCTTTTGCCCGTTTTAAGCCGAGTGGTGTCCTTGCTCTTGGCTGCCAAGAGCTATTCCTCTATTCTGGATGCAAGTATCTTCATCAGATATGTGACGTATAAATATTTTCTCCTAGTCCGTGGCTTGTCTTTTCTTTCTCCTAACAGTGTTTTTCAAAACCCAGAAGTCCTTGATTTCGAGGAAATGCGATTCATCAGTGTTTTTTCTTGCATGGATCATGCCTTCTGCGTCATGTTTGAGAAATATTTGCCTGGCCCGAAGTCACTTCCTTCTACAAGTTTTCTGTTTTTTAGGTTTTACATTGATGTACCAGATCTATTGAGTTAATCTTCATATGTAGATCGAAACTCACTTCTTCTCTCTCTCTCTCTCTCTCTTTTGCATTGTAGTGTTCTAGCACACTTTGTCAGAGAGACTGCTGTCTCCACTAAATGGCCTTTGTATCTTTGTCAAAAAGCAATTGACCTTACCTGCCTGGGTCTATTTCCGGACCCTCTGTTCAGTTTCACAGATCTGTTGTCTCATTTGATACCAATGCCACTGATTCCTGGCGACTATAGTTTTAAAATAAGGCCTGGAGTCAAGTAGCGTTAAGTTCTCCAAATTTTTTCTTCTTTGCTAAAGGTGCCTTGGGTATTCTGTTAATTCCAGAATCAGTTTTTCAATGTCTACCCAACAAGCCTGCTAAGATTTTGATTGGGATTGCTTTGAACCAAAAGGTCCATGTGGGGAGAACTGACATCATAACAACACGAAGCCTTTGGGGCCACGGACTTACTGCTTCCATTAGATTCATTCTTCGTTGTTTTCTAGTTTTTAGTGCACAGGTCTTTCACGGTTTTTGTCAGATTTATTGCTAAGTGTTTCATATATTATAAGGTCTTAGGATTTTATGCACAGAGAGTTATGTCATCTGTACATAAAGAGTTGTACTTCTTCCTTTTTTTTTTTAAATGGGCTTCATGCTCAGTGTAGAGCCCAGGGTGAGGCTCAAACTCATGACCCTGAGATCAAGTTCTGAGCTGAAATCAAGAGTTGGACACAACCGACTGAGGCACTCAGGCACCCCACTTCTCCTTTTTAAAGCTAGATGCCTTTATTTCATTTTCTTGCCTTATTACACTGGTTAGAACCCCCAGTACAATGTTGAATTAAGTGGGGGGACACCCCTGCCTTGTTCCTGATCTCAGCCTTTCACCACTACGTATGATGATGACCATCATTTTTCATAGATGCCCTTTCTTAGATCGAGGAAATTCCCCACTCATCCTAGTTTTCTGTGAATTTTTATCAGAAATTGAAGTTAGATTTTGGCAAATGTTTTCCCTGCGTCCGGTAAGATGATCAAATGACTTATCTTTATGATTGATTGATAGGGCGAATTATGCTGTTTGATTTCCAAAGGTTAAGTCACCTTCACATTACCACAATAAATCCTACTTGGTCATCACATATTGTCCTCTTTACATATTATTGGACTTAAGTTTTTGTTAAGAATTTTTGCATCCGTGTTCATGAAGGATATTGGTTCTAGTTTTTTTTGCAAAATCTTTATCTGGTTCTGGTATCAGATTAATGCTGGCCTCAGAGAATGAGTTGGGAAGTCCTCCCTATTCTCCGTTTTCTGTATATCCCTGTACAATTGATACTCTTTCTTCTTAAATGCTTAGTAGATTTCCCACACGAAGCAAAATTTTTTGGTCATATTTCTGTGTTTCATTCTGGATAGTTTCTTTACTGGGTCTTCAAGTTCACTAATCTCTTCTTCTACAGTGTCTAATCTGGCCCTGATCCCATCCAGTGTATTTTTCACATCAGTTAGTGTAGACTTACTGGCATGACCAGTCTCTACCTAACACATCCAGTCTTTCATTCAGCTCCTTAAACACTTAGGATACACTCATAAATTTCTATCATCTTTGTTACTTTGGGGTCAGTTTAAGTTCATTGATTTTTCTCCTCATCATGGGTCATATCTTTCTGCTTCTTTACGTATTCTTAATTTTTTTTAATGTTTATATATTTTTGAGAAAGAGACAGAGGGCATGAGCGGGGGAGGGGCAAAGAGCAAGGGGGACAGAGGATCTGAAGCAAGCTGTGAGCTGTCAGCACAGAGCCCAGCGCGGGACTCGAACTCACGAACCGCGAGATCATGACCTGAGCCGAAGTCAGACGCTTAACCGACTGAGCCACCCAGGTGCCCCGTGTATTTTTTAATTTTTTAATTGGATGCCATACATTGTGAACTTAGTTCGCGATGGATATTTTTGTATCCCCGTAAATATTTCTGAGTTTTGTTCTGGGATGCGGTTACCTTACTTGGAAAAGGTTTGACCTTTCAGGTCTTGTGTTAGATGGAACCATAACAGTGTGGAGTCTGCAGGTAAGTGTGCCGCGATACTGAGCCCAAACCCTTTTGAGTACTTTACCTGATGGCCTACAAATTCTGACACTTGCGTCGTGAATGGTGGTCACGGAACTCTATGCAGCCCTTATCAGAGTCCTGGATGCCGTCTCCTCTGTCATCTCAGGTCGCTGCTGGAGCGTCTTTTCCTTTTGGTTCTCTTAGCTGGGGGAACAAAGAGATACGTGCACATGCTAACCCGTGTGTACACGCACGTCTATAAATATTTCTGTACGTAGCCATCTGGATCTCTGTCAAGCAGGAGCTCATACTAATGCCGGCAGCTCTAAGCCACCGCCACGGGGGTCGTTCTCACGCCTCCCAGCTGATCTACAAGGGCACGCTCCAGCAGTGAGAGTCCTGGTGCCCACCATCCCTCCAGTTCATTGTCCATCTCCGTCTACACGATGGCGGCACCAGGGTGGCGGGCCGTACCCCTGTGGGGGCCACTTTATCCGCCGACGCGCCTTGCTTGCACACAGCTCCTTTGCCTTCCGTCCCATAGACGCCACTGGTTTCCAGGCTTCCTAGGTCATGTCTTCTCCACGCCTCCTTCAGGGAGGCCCTTTCGTACACATGGAACACAGTGAGACGACTTTGTCCCGTTCCGTATGTCACCCCACAGTCCCCCAGCCTCCTAAATATTTTTTATTTGTTTGCACACGTTAAGGCTCGCCCTGTACTGCAACGTTCCGTGGGCTTTGACAAACGCACAGCGTCACGTCGTCACCACTACATTTTCGCATCAACTGTTTTGCCATTTCCAAAAGACCTGCCTCACCTGCTCAAGCCCCCCCAACCCCCGACCCCAGCCACTCGTCTTCGTACCAACAGCCACGAATGAGCGTTCCCGTTGTTCCCCATCTTCGCCAGCACTGAGTGTTGTCAACTCTTTCGTTCCGTCTTGTTTTCATTGAAGCCAGTCTCGTAGGTGCAGGGCGACGTCTGCTTGTTCTAATTCACAGTTTCCCAGCGACCGGGGACACGGAGCATCTTTTCTCGGGCTTCATTGCTACCTCTGTATCTTCTTCAGGGAGGTGTCTGTCCAGATCTTCTCCCCGTTTTTGAATTGAGTCGTTGGTTTTTCTTACTGTTGAGTTTTT